CACACACCTTTTAAGGTGGCCCATACTCTATGCAGTGTGTTTCTCCCAAGGCTGCTCTCACCTTTTGAGATGGACAATATTGTGTCTACAGGACGTGTATTTCTCTAAATAAATCCACTTCTTGCCTATCACTTTGTCTCTCACTGAATTCTTTCTGTGATGAGTCATTAAGAACCTCAGCTTCATTAAGTTCTGAGACCAGGTGTGATCTCAGTTAAACCACTGTCTAGTGGTTCTAATCCCTCTCTGGGTTGTGTGGCTTCATCATTGCTTCTGATTCTGGCTGGGCCTGGGGCGCATTGGGCTGGGGAGCAAGATGTGCTTCCATAAGGTTCTCCAGGACGCTAGGTAGGCCAGGAGGATGAGGTTGAGGGGAGGGGATTGAGGAAGTAAGGGGCCAGGAACCCAGGTCCGATGGGCCAGCTCGCGAAGTTTCAGTCAGTAAAGGCTTCCTGGGGCTGTGGAATGAGGGCTGATGAGCATTCCTCTTCCTCACAGGCACCAGCCCTCATGGAGACTCAAGGGCTCATTGTTTCCCTGGAGCCTTTCTAAAGGAAGGCACTTCTCAGACCGAGCAGGACACTGTGGGGCTCCTGAGCACAGATGCCTTTCTGTGTCCCCCATTTCCTGTTTATAGGGAACACACTCCAGGCTCCGTGACCTTCCCTGAGTTCCAAAAAGCAGGTTCAAATGGTTACTGATCAGGGGAGGGAAGGGATGTGGAGACAAAGAAAGAGCAGCCAAGAGACAATCGTGCAGCCTTGGGGCAGGGTCCTGGTGCCACCTCAAGGGATACACATAACAATATTTTTGAGCTCTTATGTAGAACTAAGACCCTCAACAAATGGAAGGTGAACTATTTGATGAAGCTTCTTCATTCTAGAGTGTAGGTCACAGTTTGATAACTGAGAGAACCACAGAAGCTCATCAAGACATCACCTGAGGCCAGATTAAGGAGTACAGGCCCTGCACACACTCTGACCTTTATCAGCAAGTACTGTCTTGAATCATTTCTATAAAACTCCTCACTAAATCCCTCTGGATTGGGATACACAGTTTTCAAGGGTACGAGCATGCTGTGTCCCCCTTTGTCTGGCAAAACAATAAAACTATTCTTTTCTACTTCACCCAAATTTTGTCTCTGAGATTCAATTTGGCACTGGTGCAGAGATAGGTCTTTGGTGTCACTTGTATGTGTGGGCTCTGGGCACTTTTTCTGTGCCCACTGGATGTGATCTGTGTTCACATTCCTTAAAGATGAGGCCATGTGCCCACATATTCTCAAAATCCTAAAGTGATGAGACAACAGGAAGGGATATAAGAAGTCACTTAGTGTTTCCTAGAAGTGTTTTAAGGAATTCTTGGTCCCCAGTTTGCAAGAGGTGTTCTGGGAGGAAATGGGGTTTCTGGCCCTTTTGGGCAGTGCTGCCTGACTCTCCCCACCTGTCATGCATAGGCTTGAATACTGGAGATGACCAGAGGACTTGCACTAGTTTAGCTTTCTTAAAATAGACCATTTTCCAAACCTATCTGCACAGAACAGCTTTTCGGTTTGGGCTGTTTGTAGCCACTTTGCCAAGGTGGTGTTTGGGACATGGATACAGCCAAACCCTTTATTATACAGAAGAGAGTGTGGAGGGCTAGTGAGCTTGGGTCACCCAGGGAAAAGCCTCAGTTTCGGATCAAGTCTCTCCCATCTCTGCTTCTTTCTGTTGTGACTCCAGCTTCCTTAGATGGTGGCCATTCCTGCCTGAGCCCATAATTCCCCTAGGAAGAATCCTGCAAGTTCTTTTTGCTGACTCCCTATGCAGACCACTCAGCCTTAAGAAACTTGAGCCCTGGTGAGTTCCTGGTTGCCTGGGTTGCAGTCTTTTATCTTAGAGCTTCTAGTCTCTAAATGAGTGATCGCTGAGTTGCTGGGATTCTTAGAAAGACCCTCATGCAAGAGGATGGTTAGTAAGTTCACTTTAACTCATAGTTACTCCTGAGGAGTCACATCTACTTCTGCTTCATTGACTACCGTAAAGCCTTTGACTGTGTGGATCACAAAAAACTATGGAAAATTCTTAAAGAGATGGGAATACCAGACCACCTTTACCTGTCTCCTGAGAAATCTGTATGCAGGTCAAGAAGCAATAATTAGAACCAGACATGGGACAACTGACTGATTCAAAATTGGGAAAGGAGTACATTAAGGCTGTATATTGTCACCCTGCTTATTTAACTTATATGCAGAGTACATCATGCTAAATGCCAGGCTGGATGAAGCACAAGCTGGAATTAGATCTCCAGGAGAAATATCAATGACCTCAGACATGCAGATGACATCACCCTTATGGCAGGAAGTGAAGAAGAACTAAACAGCCTCTTGATGAAGGTGAGAGGGGCGAGTAAAAAAGCTGGCTTAAAACTCAACATTCAAAAAACTAAGATCATGGCATCCGGTCCCATCACTTCATGGCAAATAGATGGGGAAACAGTGTAAACAGCGACAGACTTTACTTTCTTGGACTCCTAAATCACTGCAGATGGCGACTGCAGCCATGAAATTAAAAGATGCTTGCTCTTTGGAAGAAAAGTTATGAGCCTAGACAGTGTATTAAAAAGCATAGCATTACTTTGCAAATGTCCGTCTAGTCAAACTTATGGTTTTTCCCGTAGTCATGTATGGATGTGAGAGTTGGACCATAAAGAAAGCCGAGTACCAAAGAATTGATGTTTTTGAAGTGTGGTTTTGGAGAAGACTCTTGAGTCCCTTGGACTGCAAGGAGAGCCAACCAGTCAATCCTAAAGGAAACCAATCAAGGATATTCATTTGAAGGACTGATGCTGAAGCTGAAGCTCCAATATTTTGGTCACCAGATGTGAAGAGACTACTCAGTAGAAAAGCCCCTGATGCTGGAAAGATTAAGGGCATGAGAAGGGGACCACAGGGGAGGAGATGGCTGGATGGCATCACTGACTCAATGGACATGAGTTTGAGCAAGCTCCAGGAGATGGTGAAAGACAGGGAAGCCTGGTGTGCTGCAGTCTGTGGGGTCGCTAAGAGTCAGAAATGATTGAGCGACTGAATAACAACGCTTCTGAGGAACCATTGAAAAGTGATGTACTGAGGAACTTTCATTGACTGATACATACCCATAATATAAAATTAGTTCTGAGCACCCAACACAGTTGTTCCTGCCACTGACCCCGAGAGTCCACCAGGGAGGTCAAGTGAGCTGCTCGAGACCCAGGAAGAGAAGGGCCAGGTCCCAGACCCAGGGACGGGGCTCGGCCATCTGCACTTCAGCCACCGGGAGCCATCATCATCAATTGTGATCATGGGAAGGATGATGTGATACTGTGACTCATCATAAATATATATTTGGTCATTCAAATAACCAAGATGTATTGCTCCTATATTTTGATCTTTGTCCACTGTTCCTGGCTTAGAGCTCCCCAAACCCTCAGAATTTCTTAAGTGTTGAGAATAACAAAGGTGTCTTTTGTTGTTTGAATAAGGTGACTTTTGGAAGCCCCTAAGGTTGTGGGCTGGTTCCCAGGGGAACCAACTATTCAATTAAAGGTTTGTAACTTTTAGTATCACCCTGTTGATTTCTGGAATGCAAATGAGTCTCAAGGTTGATGGTCAGTCATCACTGATGGATTTTTTAAAATCTGTGGTCGATAGATTTTTTAAAATTGAAGTTTAATTGATATACAATGTTTTGTTAATTTCTGCTGTACAGCAAAATGATTCAGTTATATATATATATATATGTGTATATATATATATATATACATTCTTTTTCATATTCTTTTCCATTATGGTTTTTTCATAGGATATTGAATATAGCTCCCTGTGCTATAATGAGGATCTTGTTACTTATCCACCCTATATAATAGTTTGCAGTGTGGGTTCAATAACCTTTTATAATAAATCAGTAATCTGAGTAAATCATGGGTAAACTGATTTTCCCAAGTTCTATGAGCCCTTCTATCACATTAATCAAACCCAGGGAGGGAGTAGTTGGCACCTCCAATTTTAGCCAGTTGGTGGGAAGCACAGGTGACATCTGAGATGGGGGTGATCCTGTGGGACTGAGTCCTTTACCTGTGGAGTCTGATTCCGTCTCTGGGTAGACAGTGTCAGAATTGAGTTGAGTTGCCTGTTGCTATGGGGAAGCCTTCCCACACATGTTGGAACTGGGCTTGGGAATGCTTTTCTGATGAGGTTCACCCATATTTTTAGTAGGTCCATTCTTTCTAATACCAGGTATTTGGGAACCAACGCTTCAGCCAGTGCCATCGGGGCTGGGACAATCTATTTTAAGAGGGACACTGCACCGCTATATGTGTTTCCTGAAGCTGTGCTCATGTGGGGAAGAGGCCTGCTGGTCACTGGTCCCTCCCTCCCTCATGGGGCCCAGAAGCCACCTCTATAGACCGTGTTCTCTGATAACCGCCCGGCGGAGCCCGGAGCTGTGTCCCAGCATCAGCTCAGAGAGTTCATCAGAGAACACAACAATCACAGTCATGTCATTTGACTCTGAATGCTCCGTTACATTTCAGATTTATTTCCAATCATCCAGAGCTGCATCTATGGGAGACAAAGGTACCTTGGAGCTCTGGCACCTGCTGTTCCCCCCAAATGTCAAGGGCTGACGTTTGATACCACTGTCCCCGGTCTGCATGATGAAAACTCACTCCTTGCTCCCCCAGGCCACCACCCCACTCATACCCAGCGAGGACTTCCACCCCCAGGCAGGTGTAACCTGTACAGCCCAGGAGGGCTCGGACCGCCTCCCTCTGGCTGAGCATCCCTGGGTGCTGGGAGAAGCCTCTCCAGCTGGATTCCTCCTTCGATCCCCCCCCCCCCCCACCCCGGGTGGCACTGAGTCCCAGGTGAGGTGCGTGTCTTGGGCTGTAGGGGCGCTCGAGGGCTGCCCGGCGCTGCAGGTGATGGGCTCTTTCCTGGACGGGGAGGCAGGGGGGGCGCAGAGTCCTGGTGACATCCTTCAGATGAAGTACTCCTTTTTGCTGCCGCCGCCGTCGTCCCGGAGGGCCGGGTCATCCTGCAGGGCCACGTCCGCGCTCTCGGCGAACTCCGTGCCCTTGGCCTCGTTGGTGTGGTACGTGCCTTTGTGCCGATAGAGGTAATGCAGCATGAGCAGCAGCAGGCCGAGCAGCACGAAGGCCACGGCCGCGACCACGCCTGCGGGACGGAAGCGCACAGCTCAGCGTGGGCGGGGCGGGCCAGGGCAGGCGCGCTGCGGGCCGCCGGGCCCAGGCAGGCTGCCGCCCCAGTGCCCGGCTAAGTGACCCCCGGCCTCCCCTCGCCCTCCACGCAGCAGCCTCAGACTGAGGCTGGAATCAGCTCAGAACGGACCCTGTTCTGAGGCCCTCCTGGTCCACCAAGGAAGGCAGACCTCCAAGCATCATCCACAGAATTCAACTCATGTTTTTGCCTAAAACTTAGAGGTTCATGGGACTTGAAACTTTTATTTTTTTAAGAGATAAATACATTTAATTCCAAAGAGTTAGGTGTTTTACATATAGATATTAAAAGAGTGAAAAAATTTATTTTATAAAGTCACACTCATTTTGTAAGACCTGGCAAATATAGAGAAATGAAAATGGAGATGAAAATATCCTTAATCCTTCTACTCAGAAATCACCAGTTAACAACCTGATATCTTTCCCTTCCAAGAAGCATTCATGTTTAATCAAAGTTCTCCTTCAGTCTTCAGATGAATGCATGTGTTCTGTCCCTTCAGCCGCGTCTGACTCTATGTAACTCAATGGACCACAGCCTGCCAGGCTCCTCTGTCCGTGGGATTCTCCAGGCAATAATACTGGAGTGGGTTGCCATGCCCTTCTCCAGAGGATCTTCCCCACTCAGGGATTGAACCTGCGTCGCTTACATCTCCTGCATTGGTAGGCAGGTTCTTTATCATTAGTACCTCAGATGAATGGCCCCCTCTAAAACTTTTTTACACCTCAGTATTAAGAATTTGCAATCATTTTCAAACTCTTCTTACCAGAGTCCATCTGGCTGATCTGTAATTCTCCAAACACTTTTTATTTGACCATTTTCCCATGTCTTTACAAATGTTCTGTCTGCTGAAAATATTTTCCCCTCTTATATTCCTGGTAAACTTGGATGCTGCCTTCTGAATCATAAGTCTCTACCACTTCCTCTAAGAAGATTAGCCTTCCCCTGCAGAGGGCATCACTCCATCCCTCAGTATTTCTCTTATATTTTACGAATCTGAGAGTTCTCGGTTTTAAAAGCTGGGCCATCCCAACCGAGCATGGAACTCGAAGTGCATGGCGTTGGGAAGACCAGTTGAGCTGGCTGTCCTCTGGGCAGGAGGACGGCGAGGAGGTGAGGGCTGTCCATGGTGTCGGGGGCAGGTTGGGTGAAATGTGGTTTGAGCTCCTCACCCAAATCCAGTTCCCTGTGCTTCTGTGGGAGGGGTCTGGTGGTGCAGTGCCAGGGCTAGTCAGAAGGACCAGGTCACTCGGTCTTGGAGAGATAGGATGAGTGGGGAGGATGGAAGAGTTAGGGTAGGACCAACGGGTGGCACTCTCACAGCTTGGGAAGGGGTTCAAGCTAAGGTGTTTGCTTTAAAGTGTGGAAGAAACCCTCTGCCTTGACTTAGAAGATGGGTTTACTGAGGGAGGTGCTGTTGGAAAATATGTGGAGGCTTTAGCTGAACCCAGTCTCAGCTTTGTAGTACAATTTCCTCAACTTCCCACTGCCTTTAGGCACTTCTGTCTGCATGATGTGAATGACATTATCTAAGAAAAAGAAGGTGCAGCTGCCCAGTGAGAAGGAGAACACAGCGTGATCACCTGCTTTTATCTATTTATATTTAATCATGAAGTTCCCTGAGCTACGAATGAACTAGGGGAGACGTGTGAATCTCAGGACACCAAAAGCTATATCTCACAGACCTAGTGGGTCCTGAAACAGTTTGGGGTCACAGCTGTGACCAGCAAGGGCCAGTATGGGCTTCAAAGCAAGGCTGGAGCAGGCTTAGAATAGGGGGACAGGAGTGTAAGACATGGCAAGGAAGAGTGTGGCTGGAGGGAGCTGGGGAAGAAGGCAGGGCGCCGTGGTCAGCCCCTCAAGCCCACCCAGCCCTGCACATTCCTCACTGGAGTGGCTCTCCCTCCAGACTCCAACCCTGTGGATCCAGGGCCTGACAGGCCCTGATTTGGCTGTCCGGGCCCCTCACCCACTAGGATGCTGTGTTGGACGTTTTCTTACAGAGACTGAGTCCCCAGCCCACCTTCTAACCTCCTTTGCGGGAAGGAAGGTGAGGCCACGGCAGGCCCTCCCCTGAGTCTCTCCTCTGACCCTTCTGCCTGCTTGCAGGGCCCCAAGACTGCATACCTGCAATGACAGCGATGTCCATCTCACTCGAGGCCATCCCAGGGTTGGGCTCTGCAAATAGAACAGAAGAGCCCGAGATGAGAAAGGATGGCTCCCCACTCCCTGCAGTGTCTCCACTGAGCTCGCGCCCTCTGCTCGCAGGTGCGCGGGCCCAGGGTGCACGGGGAACCACGCGGCCCACGGACAGACCTTGGGCTGGGAGCACAGGGCAGGGCCCGGGCTCTGCTTGGCTGCCGACCGCCGCTGGAGAGCGCTGTGTGAGCCCTGGGGCCGTCAGGCACCATGTGGCCTCTCCAGGACGTGGGGGCCCCTGCTGCACCCCTACTGCACGTCTGACCCAGAGCCCTGCCTGTACCTGCTCGGCAGACACCTGGGCGGGGCGAGACGACAGGGCCAACTGGGTTTAGTGCAGCATCACCTGGCCCTGCAGGCCTTAGCTTTTCTCGTGATGATGGTAAAAGCAGACCACCTGTGGGGCGTCTGCGTATGTCAGCTGTTGGTTTAGCTGCTGTCCATCTAGTATACCAGGTGCGTGGTATATTGGGGGCTTCCCGATTGGTGCAATGGGAGAGTCTGAATGCTAATGCAGGAGATGAACAGGAGATGAGGATTTGATCCCTGGGTCGGGAAGATCCCCTGCAGGAGGAAATGGCAACCCAGTCCCGTATTCTTGCCTGGAGAATGCCATGTGTAGAGGAGCCTGGTGGGCTACAGTCCATGGGGTTGCAAAGAGTAGGACACGATTGAGCGACATCACCACCACTTTTATTAGCCCATTTCACAGGTGGGCCACTGAGGCTCAGAGTGATGTGCCCACCATCACATAGCTGGTTGGTGGTCAGGCTGGAGGCCAGGACTTAGTCTGCCTTCTCTGAGGGGCCCTGTGTCTCATCTCTCTTGAAGATGCCCCTCCCAGAGATCCCTCTCTGAGACCCTACACAGGCCTCTGCATTCTTCTGTGGCAGAGGCACTCTGTGGAACTATCCAAGTTACTGAGTGTGTTTTTCCAAAGCTGAGTGATCTGGACAGAAGGCTAGGATGTGCAGGAGAGCAGGAACCTCCCCTCTGGAAGATGCGTGAGAGGAAGGATTTATTAGAGGACGGAAACTTCAGTGTTCACATGGAAATCCCATGTTCCCATTACAAGGGTGCCTGCTATTAAAACAGAGAAGGCTGCTTCATAATAGTCATTTCCGCTCAAAGAGTGGCTTTAATTATAGTGTGATGAGGTCATTCTCCCCAGTGAAGCTGCCAGATGCCTCTTTCTGATAAGAAGCTGGCTGGTGGTGGGAGGAAGCAGGGATTCCAGGTCTGAGGCCCCCGGAGGAGGGAGGGCCAGGCTGAGGGCCCGGGGGCCAGCACAGAGCCTGGAGGTGGGGAGAGGAGAAAACGAAGCCTCAAGTCAGCAGAGACAGAGCAGGCATCAGGCGGGCAGGGAGGCACAGACAGGGAAGGTCAAGTGGATGCTGGGCTCCTCAATCCAGGGTGATCAAATGCAGCTTGGGACTTAGTCTCTAGCACAGAGTGGGCACTTAATAAACATTTACTGAATGCATGATTCCTAGGATAAAGGAATGCATACAAATGAATGCATTCAGAAGCCAGCATTCTGGAACTTACTAGATTACGGAGCCCCTCAGAGTAAGTAAGAAAGGCCAGAACCTTCCTTAAGTCGGCGTGGATGGGTATAGAAGCTCAAATACCCAAGATTGCTGTGAGGAATTTTCCAGGTGAAGGCAAGCCTTTCTTAAGTCAAGTTTGACCAATGCAGCCAGCATTAGAAAGGTGTTATTTCTCTTTTAAAAGCAATTGCCAATTGCTTGACATTTGCCAGGTACCGTTCTTAACACTTGAGGTATTTTAATTCAAATAGTCCCTGTGACAGTCCCATTCAGTACTAGTCACTATTATTCCCTTTTTACAAATTTGGAAGCTAAGCTCCAGAAAAGTGTAACTGATTTCTCTCGGTTGGAGTCTCTCCTGTGTGAGCCTTAGCAGCCTCAGGTTGGCACGCTTAACTCTGCAGGTCCTGCCCAGTGATGAGCCTAGGTGAGCTGGGTGAGGACCAGAAGTAAGGGCTTGGATCACTTGGGGGAGAATTTCTTGGCTTATGTGTAGAGACCAGAGGTTAATTTGTTCAAGTCACACCATGTGACTGACTCCATGGTAGTGACACTTCAGCCTGGCCAGACCTGCCACATAGGTCAGAACAGGCATAGAGGAGGATGCTTGGGCATGTCTGGGAAGGTGGAGATGGTGTAAGATGGTGGTTCTCAGAGTGTGGTCCCTAGAACAGCAGGGTTTCCTGGGAGCTTGTCAGAAATGCACATTCCTGGGCTCCACATTTTTGTACCAGAAATGCTGGGGTTGGGGCCCAGGTGATTCTGATGCACATTCAGGGTTGAGAACTGCTGGTGTAAGAGAAGGCCTTCCAGAGAGGGTTTATCAAGATGGGCTCATGAAGGACGAAGAGGAGTTTGCTGCATTCCAGGCAGAGAGCTTAGCCCCTACAAGAGTGCTCACTTCTCTCTAGCTCTCAGTTTTCTCCCCAGATAACTGCTTGCCGTCCATAGCACCAGGGGTCCTAAAACCAGGCTTTGACCTCTTGCCTCTGGAGATGCGCAGTGAGTGTCCTCAAGGGCCACAGCGCCCTGTGCGGTCGCAGCTAGCAGCAAGGACATGGGATATCTGCAGAAGGCTAGATGGGATAAGCTCAGCCCCTGTGCAAGCAGTTGGCAGGGTAGTATGCAACTGGATTAGGAGCCTGGAATGGAAGGTCATCATTGCTGAGGTTCAGGGGTACATATGAGCTTGGAATTAGGGTCACTGTGAGCTCAGGATCTGGGGCGGGGGCTGATGGGTAACTGAAGGTAGCAGGGTAGGGGGTGTTTATGGCAAAACAAAGTGTTATTTATGGTTCTGTGTGGGTCTGGGATCAGAAGCAGACGTCAAGTCCTAAGACTGGACAAGTATGAGTGGCCGCCCCACCTTCTGTAGAGACCCAAAGTACCCTGTGTTTTTCCTTCCCAGCTCTCCTTGAGACTGCAATGCCCTGACCAGAGAGGAGGGGCTTCCTTGGTAGCTGAGCAGTAAAAGAACACTCCTGCCAGTGCAGGAGATGTGGGTTCCATCTCTGGGTTGGGAAGATCCCCTGGAGAGGGAAAGGGAGACCCACTCCAGTGTTCATGCCCGGGAAATCCCAAAAACAGAGGCGCCTGGTGGGCTCCAGTCCATGGGGTCGCAAAGAGTCAGACGACTGACCAACCAACACACACACGTGATACTAGTTCAGAATAGGCATTTATCCGTTGCAGCCACTGGCGTGATTCTGAGTCTTATTATGCATGTTACTCTGGGTTCCTCACCTGCAGCTGGGATACTCTTTAGGGAGCTCTGACTTCCTGTGCACACACACCACGAGCCTATTGATCTGAGTCACAGTGTAAAGTGGGTTTCTTACCGAGGGTATCATTCACCATGATGTTTACAGGCTGTGATTTAGACAACTAAAGAGTCTCTTGATGAGGGTGAAAGAGGAGAGTGAAAAAGCTGGCTTAAAATTCAACATTTAATAAACTAAGATCATTGCATCTGGTCCCATCACTTCATGGAAAATAGATGGGGAAAAAGTGGAAAGAGTGACAGATTTTATTTTCTTGGACTCAAAAATCACTGCAGATGGTGACTACAGCCATGGAATTAAAAGATGTTTGCTCCTTGGAATGAAAGCTATGACAAACCTGGACAATGTATTAAAAAGCAGAGATATCACTTTGCCAACAAAAGGTGTGTATGGTCAAAGCTATGGTTTTTCCATGTGGATGTGAGATGTGAGAGCTGGACCATGAAGAAAGCCAAGTGCCAAAGAACTGATACTTTTGAATTGTGGTACTGGAGAAGATTCTTTTTTTTTTCATTTATTTTTATTAGTTGGAGGCTAATTACTTTACAATTACAATATTGTAGTGGTTTTTGCCACACATTGACATGAATCAGTCATGGATTTACATGTGTTCCCCATCCTGATCCCCCCGCCCGCCTCCCTCCCCATCTCATCCCTCTGGGTCTTCCCAGTGCACCAGCCCCGAGCACTTGTCTCATGCATCCAACCTGGGCTGGTGGTCTGTTTCACCCTTGATAGTATACCTGTTTCAATGCTGTTCTCTCAGAACATCCCACCTGGAGAAGATTCTTGAGAGTCCCTTGAAGCACAAGGAGATCAAGTCAATCAATCCTAAAGGAGATCAAATCAATCAGTTCTAAAGGAGATCAACCCTGAATGTTCATTGGATGGACTGATGCTGAAGCTGAAGCTCCAATACTTTGGCCACCTAATACAAAGAGCTGACTCACTGAAAAAGACCCAGATGCTGGGAACGACCTAGGAGAGGAGAAGGGGGTGACAGAGGATGAGATGGTTGGATGGCATTACTGACCCAATGAACATGAATTTGAGCAAACTTTGAGAGAGAGTGAAGGGCAGGAAGCCTGAAGTGCTGCAGTACATGGGGTCACAAAGAGTTAGACACGACCTAGTGACTAAACAACGACAAGAAGAATAAACTAAACCCTTTGTCCTAGGGCAGCCTGATCAAGAGATTAAGCGAGAAGCTGACAGAAGGAGAGCAAATCACAGCTGATTTCTACTTCACTTGCATCATACCCGTGAAAGCTGTTGTGGGTGATGGCAGTGGAACGGCCAAGCGTTCTGATACCTCTGGGCTTCTGAATTCCCTGTGTGGTCACCCAGCTGCAGAACTTGCCAGAGGGGGCCAGGTCAAGGGTGGGGACATCAGGTGTTTCCTGTAGCTGTGGATTCAGAGAGGAAGGGAAGGGCTGTTCCTGCCCCAGCTCTCATGTGGGGATGTCACCACCTCCCATAGAGGTGGGGTATGGGGGTAGGGATCAGGGGAGGTTGATATTCTAGTGAATCTTGGGAATTTTCAGGGGTGGGCACAATGCTCTAGGACTAGGGAAGTGCTGACACAGGTCCTGGGGGCTCAGCCTTGGGGTGGGAGTGGCGAGCAGGGGGAGGCGGTCTTACTAGGCAG